GAGAAGGTCTGGGCCTAACTGAGGCAGCGATGGTAAGTCATCGGAAGATTACCTACACCAGTCGGCCATGGTGCCCTTCAGCGCCACCATGAAGTCATAGGCACATGCCGTGACTTCGAAGCACGGGTATACTGACAACCCTCGTGGAAACAGCTAGCTAGGTAAAAGCCTGGAAACCAAACCAAACATTCCCAAAACAGGCGTGAACTTCAATTTAGAAAAAAGGTGTTATGGAGCAGAATTTCAACCAGTCCTCGGCAAGTACGAACTAGTATCTCTTCCTCCGTCACTAGAAATGGGTATGTATTGTTCGAATCATTCCGACAACAGTCGAAACAACCTGCCTGCCGTTGGAGTGGGCTAAGTGGAGCGATTTAACAATTACCACGAACTCGTAGAATAGTATGTGAAAGGCAAGTTCGAATTTTTCAGCCAGGATTTCTGTTCACTGTTGACTAACTGCGTTTGTTGAAGTGTTTTCCTCTCTCATCGCCATGTCTTATCCCATTTCATTTGTGACAATCAGTGGGAAGGACTAGTTGAGAGTGCGGCACAATCAATAATGATATCCGACTAAAAAGTACTGTGAAGAGGACGAACAATTCCACTGCGATTCTATTCGGTACTACTCTATGCTGGTCGGGCATCGCTGAGGCCGATGTCAGACATTGAGAAATCGCGCGATTCGCCGGAGCGTCGCGGTTTCGCGTTTGCGGTCCAGCCAATTGAATGATTCGCTGGCCACGACGCGACCGCGGACGCTAGCGAATCGCGCGATTCGCAAAGTCTGACATCGGCCTGAGTGAGATGCGATTTCTGCTTTTCCATTTTTGCTTCCTGCAGTGTAATCGTGAGTTTGAGAGATGTCGAGTTCCTTTGAAGGGATTGTTCAAAGTGACAGAGGGATCCACTACACATGAAGAAATGCAATTTTCATTATCTTCATAAACGTATAACCATCTAAGTTGAAATCTTTCAAGCTTTTATGCATATTTGTCTTCAAAAACTAAACTATAATACAATCGTTTTTGGTGCTGAAGTTAATTAGGGTAAGACACCTTGACTGCGGGTCAACGACAAGCACAAAGCCTATGTAGGAGGCAGAGCGAACCCAGGGGAAAAACTGATACATCGTGGAGTCCTTCTACCTAACGCTTATTGTTAACTCCAAAAATGGCGTTACCATAATGTATGACGCGCAAAATCAAGCTGTCCAACCCACCATCTCTGCTCCGGCAATGATTATCTAAGAATAATAAGAAATGAAGGGCGCCAAAGTGTATCCAAGTCCTGCATCGGATCCCAATCACTGTTTATTGGAACTGCTACGTCATCCGAATAACACCCACACCAGCTTCACGTCGCCTAGAAATATTCCGATTGCTAGTGGACCCGCAGAAGAGTTCCAGTTTGAGTAAAAATGAAAAAAAAAACTGGTGTGCAAAACTTAGGGACGCGATTTCCATTGACATGATATCTCACTGCTCGTTACCAAGGTCGAAAAAATTTGGAACATAAATAGAGGGCAATGTTACAGTATATTGCAAAGGGTCACTGACAGAAACACGCGATGGAACGATTGGAAAAGACACTTTTCTTCAAAAACGGTAACTAGAGCGGTTGATGGGTGAAGCAACCACAATTCATGAGATACCTTAAAGGCATGCCCCAGGATATTGGTGTGCTCTTGCTCACGATGCTAGTGCAAAACGGTACTACGGCTGTGGTTGTTGGTGGGAAGTGGGCCGGCAGTAAAGAAAAAAGGAAAAGAATCCGTCAAAAACGCTTAGGTTGAGGGCTCACTCACCTTCCTAATCGGCTGTGCTAAGGGAATGAGAGACTAAGCGCGGAGAGGAGAGTATGGGGCGAGAGAGCGCTACAGATGAGAGAGCCAGACAACAGCCTGATAGAGAGAAAAAAACTGCAGCTTGGGCAGCTTACTTTGCAAGGCCCAAGCGCTCTTGTCGGTTGGTTTCCGTGCACGAGAACGCCACATTTGTGATTGTCCTCTAGGGTCTATACTACAGACCGAAGAGAAGCGTTCACACGACCTCTGCCTGGGTTGTGCCTTTAGTGAAGAAGGGCTGGTCTCAAAGGAATCCCTCAAGAGAAAATCAAGACTCTATTTCAGTCACAAATCACTGGCTTGAGACTCATCATCCACGATAGGGATGAAAAGAACAGAAAAACCGTATTTGTTTTTGTAAAAAAAATTCGAAAAATCAGAGAAGGGCTGCTACGCGTTCAAAGCACCGCCGGACATCTGTCACAAATGCTGGCGACGGAACGCATCCACTTGATTCTGTGCCGTCATTTGAAACTCTTTCTGGCCTTTTGACTTATTGTATTCCACATCACACACTTTATTCACCACCATTCTATACATCAGATTTGGTCTCAACAGCGCTTTCAAAATAGCACGCTCACCAAAGTTCTAATCACCTGTACATAGGCCGCCCCAGCGGATTCTTTTCCATACCCCGCTTCGTCTCCGCGCACGCTTGACTTCGATTGATGCTCATAGTGTAGCTTTTATTGCAGCTTCACGCCAGAAGTTATTACGTGTTTCTCTTCGGAAACCGAATCTTGATGCGTGAAACTTTGTGTGCTGTTTCCAGTGATCACAGCTGATAAATTCATATTGAGAAAAAATGCTAGAATATTTCGCGAAGGAGCCCTTCATTGAGGTATATGAATACTACGGACTGTTAAGCATGCTTTACTACACGCTCCCATATTGGCCACAAAGTTGTTTAAGAGTTCTTATGCAAAAGAGCTTCATTCTTCAAGTACCGCGACTGACAACTGCTGGACAGTTGTTGGCGCGTGAGGATGCACCACAATAGCTCATATGAATGCACGCCATACGTGCTCCATAGGAGTTGACTGGGGAAACGAACAAGATTCACCAGTCGCCAAAAATCCTCGCTTTTCTAGGAGTTTTTTTTTTACCTAGGCTGCTTGATGCTCTCGCTCACTGTCTCCCATACAAATGATGTTGAGGTCAAACGCACCCATGGAAAGATGCGCACAAGAGAGCAGTACAGTTTTCACAACAACTGTTGATCAGGAAGCTGAACCGCGGACCATGGAGTTGAGAGGACAGTACGTCTATCACGCTTCCATAGTTCCGTTCAATTCCACTGAATTGTTTAAAAAATATGTCAATTTATATATCTCGTCCTTAAGTTATGCACACCAGTGTATTTCATCGCAATGTGCAACTAACCGTCCATTCATGCGGCTATGAATTACCCACTGATTTGCCTCGGGATCAAATACTTCAACGGTGTCTAGATGGGTGAAGCCGTTATGCCCACGACAGCGTATAGCCTTCCATTGAAAACGGCCGAGCTACCTGATAATAAATAAACGTTCGGCAGTTCTGAAAAACAGTGCGTGGACGATACCACTGTTTTTTCAGACTGACGCTGAACGTATTATTAGGTTGTGCCATAAGTTCGTGCCACATTTTTGCCTTCTCATTCCAAAACTACATTTAGCGATTTCTGAATATGAGCAAGTAGGCTACGAAAAGCTCACTCGTGGAGTAACCTCGACAGCGAATCATGCCCACCTTAGTTGCTTATTCTTCGAACATGAAACCGAAAACGAGAGAGTCATATTTTTCACACTTTGAATTATAGACTTCTGGAGAGCCACAAATCAGTCGAACCCAGGAGTTACGTCTACTTAGTGTACACCTCTTAGTCGTCGTTCTTCATGAGGTATCGAAATGACGCAACCTGCTTCTCTCTGGGAGACTACAGCTCGAGAAAATCCTGACCTGGAGAGGCAATCGGTGTCCGATTTGAACCTGCTGTGCTCAGGGTCAACCGTCCGTTCGAACTGTTCGAACGAAGGGGTCGCATTTTGGTCGGAAGGGGGTCGCAATTTCGAGGACTGCCAGCCACAGGCGCGTGCGTGGCGTATCCGAGGGCAAGAATTGTTTGTGCAGACCGCATTAGATTCGATTAATTATGCACAGAGAGACAGTTTTAGGCAAATTACGGTGTTTTCCTTGAGGAATAAGAGAACAGTTGAATGCATCCCTATGAAAGGTTTGACTTCTCGGGGCTGAAATTAAAGTTCTTCGGGACCTGATTTTCTGAGGACGATTCTTCCAGACAACGGTAAAACATATAAGAAAGCAGAAATCTCGTAGTCTTCAAAAATGTCTTCGCCCCTCCCCAACAAGTTCTTTGAAGGAAGTTATTATTGCTGAAAGCTCAAAAACTCGCATGTGCTGCTCAAAAACCTATGGGAACAAAATGTTCGAACGTGTGATTTTCTCGGAAAATGAGATTTGAGCTTTTTAGAAAGAGCAAATCCTGCACTTTTCACCCATGGAAAAAAGTGCATCACAGAAAGTGAAAATGAAGTGAGTTATGCCCGCTTAAAGCCCAAAAACTCGCGATTTCAAAAAAAGTGTTCGGCAAAACCCCCCAAAATGTTCGAACGTGTGATTTTCTCGAAAAATAAACTTTGAAAAACGGTTTGGGGCTTGTTAGAAAGAGCAAATCCTGTACTTTCACCCCATGAAAAAAGTGCATCACAGAAATGAAAATGAAGTGAGTTATGGTCGCTGAAAGCCCAAAAACTCGCTTTTGCACGAAAAATGTTCGAACGGGACAATTTTTTGAAAAAGGGGACAATCACTAAACTTTTTATACTATTTTGTTAGAGAAATATTTGAAGTTTCTGAAACTTTTTACAGATTTCCAAAATGTCGCATACGAAAGATTTTATGGGCCTTCAAAGTTGAAGGTGCGCCTTCTTAGAATTTTGGGTTTTCCACTTCTAACAGAAGTACTTTCCGGAGAGTTAGGCAATCCTTGTAGTTTTCTGAAAGCGCACCTCAGGCACAATCAAAATCTACCTCAACAAGTCAAAAAAATACGTCCCAAGAAAGTTATTCCCCTCTAAAATTTTTTCTTCGCCGCGTCCCGTTCTTCCAGCGCCCGGGTGATACCTGCCGCGCTCCAAGGCCGACGCGACGACGCGCAGACGCTTTCTGGCGCAACGGATTCATGTCTAGCACTCTTATTAACAAAAACAGGGGGTCGCAACTGGACCCCCTCGAGAGCTAGGGGGTCGCAAAAATCCCGAAAATGTTCGAACGTGACGGTTGACCCTGGCTGTGCTCCCCCATTAAAGAGCTACCCGCACGAAATCTTTTGCTATGTGACCGCCATATGCAGACGTACACGATTAACAGAGGTCTGCATCCTCTGGGAAATTATAGAGGCTTGGACAAAGAAATCCCCATGAATTGACCGTTAATCACAAGAGTGCAACACGAGTTCTGTCAACATCTTCTAACCTATTCCATCCCTACGCGGTGGCTGAACAACGGCGTTACTGCTGATGAGAAGTGGTTGTTCTATGCTATAGACCTGCGGAAGCATCAGCGGCTAGATCGATCAAAAGGGGTTGAAAAACTGTCAAATACAGCAAGCCGTGTTGGCTCACGTATGGGGAGCAAATCTCGAAGAAGCCACCGAGAACTTCTCCACAGCTTCGGCCTTGTAACAGCCTAGGTCTCCTTCAATCAAGGCTGGAAGCTGGTCAGAAAACTCCAACTATTACGTCCAAAATTTAATAAAGTACGTCCGCTCCGCGACAACCGAGACCACGTGTTTCGTAAATTGCACAGCTCTGGATTTCGAAGCTTAGTTGAGAAGTGCAACCAGATCCATCGTACAGCGGTGATCAGCCTCCCTCCAGAGGCCAACTATTCATCTTGCTAAGTAATCATCTTACTGACGAAAAATACGATTCAAAAAAGGAGCTCGAAATCGACCTCACAGCCTTTTCCAGCTTGAAACTGCCGAACTTCTAGGAGCACGGCGTCGACACTGGTGGATCGTTGGCATCAAGTCACTGATAGCAACAGTCCACATGTTGATGATGGATATTGCTTTTGTTGATAACCTCAACTCAAAAAAATGTTCTAAAGTGGCACGAACTTTTGGGACAACCTAATAGAATGCACGTAGAATAAAGATGACTGAGATGATGAGATAACTCACACCAGATCGTTTCTCGTTCATGTCAGCCACTGCGGTCCATTCGTTGGTGAGGGGATTAAATTTTTCAGCTGAACTCAAATATGTTGATCCTTGTTGCCCTCCTACTGCATACAAATGCCCCTCCAACGCGGCACATCCCAAATATGCTCGACAGGTTGTCATTGTGCGAAGATATTCCCATTTACCAACTCGTGGGTCAAATCTAAAAAATTAAATGGAATGGGTGGTTTACCATGTTTCACGATCGACAAACCTCTCCACAGTACTTCGAGGTGATCCACGCCATCCTCCAACTGCGTATAAACAGCCATTGAGCACAGAAACAGAGAGAGCACATCGCCATGTACCCATGGATGCCTTTCTGGTCCACTGATTTTGTCGAGGATCATAGCTGCAACAGTAAGCATTCCAATATGTTGAAGCGACAGTCGTGGGTACAATGTCTACCGTTCAACAACGCTCAGAGCTGTGCCATTCGTTCCGCCCACTGCATAAATGAAGTCGTCAAGCATGGCAACGCCAAGTGCAGATCGGTTGTGGGACATTGGAGCTATGTCACTCGACCATGCTTCAGTAGTGGGATCGAACCTAAGGCTTTCCTAGAGTAAACACCTGGAAACCACTTCATGTCTTTATTTGAGGATACTTCTATGATGTCCAAAAATGGAGAAGGGTTCTAATGGCTGAAAGAGCCAGTTGCCGAAGCGGCGTGCGCCAGTGCCATTTCTGCTTCGTCCCAACGAGATGGGGTGTGCTCGCACATCTAACGATAAGCTTTTCAAGTAGGTCAAGTAATTTGCCCCCCCCCCTCCTTAATCCCACCAATTGGGAACAATCCCTCTGCTTAAAGATTCTTTGTTTTGCAGTGAGGGTCGCGAAATTGCCGCATGCCGCGATGGTGAGTGCCCCCCCCCCTCAACTGCGTCAGAACCTGAAAAGGAAGGCTCTAACTAGAGCAGTACGACACCATAGATTACAGCGCAAGATTCCTCAGGCTACTTTCATACTTTGAGCCCTTGCGGACAGCGCGGACCGTGCGGAGAGTACGGACAGTGCGAAAAGCGTCAACACGCGCACTGGCGCATGACGCGTACTTGGCGTACAGTCGATACCTTCCGATCGATAATTTCATTTTCAATACATTCCGTTTATTTTTTGATGTTTTGTGTGCCCTATTGCTTTGTTCCTTTTTTCTTGCTTAAAACTTTTTTCTTTTCCGTGTGAAATACTCTCTGCTATTGATGGACTCACCGAGGCTTTCCGCTACATTCAGACGCAACAGGAAAATGCTACTCGCTTAGGAACAACTAAAATGTCAACTAAGACATGTAAGAAGAAAATTTTTTCGAGCTTCCTCGAATCTAGCTTCCGCTCCATTTTGAATTTTTTTTATGTATGAAAAAGTAAGGTGAGCACTTCTTCAAAATATAACAGTCAACTTTCACCTCTCTCCAAAACCACTAACGTAACTTGTAAAAAGAGGTCTGATATGTTCCTGAAAACGTGAAGGTCGTAGATTTCAAATCCACCCCAAATTTTGCAAATTATTCAGCTAGTTTAAAGTCATGCCCGTTTAAAGACTATCACATCCCATTACATGACGGCAATTGCTTTTTCGTAATTCACAGCTATCAAGGAGAATTAGAGAATATTTCACAATCCTTTTCATGTGCAGGTGTGACGTAATACCTCTCAACGCTTTTCAAGTACGTATTTCCATCGCGTCCTCCAACAGCGTAGAGCAATTTGTTAAGGGCAGCTATACCAACTCCTTGCCTAAAAAATATGTTTCTAAAGTGAAAATGTAGCTCTAAAATATGATGACCTTGCCTTGCCTTACTCATGGGAGCAACGCTCTGCCATGTAGTGTTTGGTTCTCCTGAAGCGAGGCGTTCCATAGAAGTCATACCCTCCAAATAGAAGGCTCCTCCCACTGAAAGCTACTTCCAATATTATAAACCAAGATTTGCTTCCAGGACGTCCTCGGAACCTCCCCATATGCACTATTCACGCCTTTCCTTGCAATTCTTTCCATTTGTGATAAACACCTCGTAGGGTAAGTTTGTATGCAGAAAAACGTCACAGAACGAAATTCCAACACAGCTTTGGCCCTTACATGGTTGGCAGTTCATGTTTTGCCATTTCCCACTCCTCGTTTTTGGAAAATTTCTTTATTACCAGATTAGTCCCCCGTCAACCGCCGGGACCTTCCTTTCCTGCGCAAGCTTTCTATCCTCCGCTATGGTCCCTTCCTCCTGTGACACCAACACCTCCTGGAAGTGACGCGTATGCAACACAATGGTGTTTCATACAGTAGAAGGGACACAATCATGATATGACGGTAGATTTTTCGCTTCCCTTCCTCATCCTCCCTTCCTCTCTCCACTGCCCTCCAGCTGCCACTGCAGCACCATGTGGAATGAACGGAAGTGTGCTAAGCAGGTGTTTATATAGCCCTAAGAGTGTTATCACAACTATCCTGCTACAAAACATTGATATCTCAAATCCTGTAAGCTACCCGATTTGTTAGCGGTTTGTTTATCCCATGAGCTTCCTTCTCACTCACTTCATTTTGCGGACGGACACACATACACACACACACACACACACATACAGATACACAAACCGACACACAAAGTTAGCGCTTTAAAATAGAAGGATATATTTAATTCCCTAGTCGTTTCCACATTTAGATGAGCAGAAGACTTCGGACCAGACAATACCAAGAAGTAACAATCACTCTAACTCAAGAGAATTATTGGGTTGATCCATAATTTCTGGCCGATTTTGGTTCAAATTCAATTTTCAATATGTCAAATTAACTTCATATCGAAATAAGTTGATATGTTGAAGAACACATCAGGACCTTCAGCCAGGATGTTTCAGAAGCTCAAATGCGCAACGGGATAATTAAGTAGGAATCAAAATAGATCAACGACCAAACCCAACGATTATGCCTTACGACAATTTAAGAAGAACCTTGCAAGGAGCGCGGTAGGCAAGATCAGCGCTACGTTTGCCCCAGTCTTTGCTACTGATCGGGCACTGAGCTATTGGCTCAATAGCATCGGCAAAGACGATAGGAGCTGCAAAGTTCGACCTCATCATGGACCTCCAGTCACTTTCGATGAGGACCCCTTGCGCAACGAATAGGAAGTGCATCCGGACGCTATTAGCAGGAAACTGTAGCAAACATCTGGACGCAGCCTACGCTCCATGAGTCGACACCTGAACGAAAGGGGCTGTAGCAGAATGGAGACTCGATGGAAACAGCAGGCATCGACTGACCATGACCGAGAGGCACGCCTGACCCCTCACAGCCTGGACTCACCATCTCGACCAAAGCATGAGCTCTCTCATCAGAGGATATTACCCCGGTTCGTTGGATTCGCTGGGTATCCCTGTTTTGAGAACCATTTCACTTTATGCAGACAAGCATTGCGAAGGTAACCATGGAATAGCTCCCGAAGTTGGCCGCAGCAGTGCGGGAGAACGGTTGGAAAGTCTCAAAATCTCCTTTCTCCGAAGGACCGCCCGAAATCACATTGCAAAGATAACTCGCCACGTTTCGAGGGAAACTGGCTGGACCACGACACCACATCTATCGTATAGCCCTGACATTGCTCCATCGTACTATCACCTCCTCAGCTCCCTGAAGCAGCAGCTAGGAGAGAAAAAGTCAGTAAATACAACCACCCCAAAAACGACCTCTCCGAACTTTTCATTCACAGCTTCACTCGTTCTGGGAGGAATGCATCCATTCGTTCCCTAGCAAAGTGGATGCATATCAGTGATTATGATGGTGGTTATATTTTTGATCAATTGTTTTTAGGAAAGATAAAACTTGAAGAAATCAAAGTGTTGAAATTCGGCCAGAAATTATGGATCAACCCAATATTTCATAGAAAGTTTGGCTGCGCACGCAATCGAATGCATCACACGGGACTGCAATGGTATAAAAAAGGGCCATCGCTGTTTCTATAAATTCATGGCAAACTCCGCCCACCTCGGTGCCACCCTTTAAAGGCACGCTCCACGATTAGGCGCGCTCGCCTGTTCCATCCCGGGGGTAGTAGGCAGGCGGACAAGTGTTGATGTCGCGCCCCTTTTGCCGCTTGAAAGTGCGCGACAAAGGCGCAAGGAGCTCGTCCGACCCGCAACTCACACCTTCGTCCGCAAGCCCCACCCTCCGCTGTCGGTTGCCACGTGGCGCTGCTTGAAAAGCGCGGGCGCATTTGAGGCAGCGGTCCCACCGCGACCCAATGTCATTGGCACTGGAGCAACTAGAGTTAGGTTCGTGAAACTCGTCCAACGCGCCTTTTCTCTATCCCAAGGTGGAATGTGGCTGAAATAGGGGAGGTCTCTGTACGGGGCGTAATCGGTGGTTTCGTTTGCTTTCCTTCTCTTTTACAGACCACCTCCCACCTCTAGCTTCATAACTGAACGCTTTTCCACACCTATTTTATCCCGAATCTTGCCTTTAATAGCAATTGACCTCCCTTCCGTTGTCAGATCCTATCCACTTTTTTCCTGATTTCCAAGATTTCTTGGAACAGAGTTGCAATGTTTCGTGGACATCCCCGCCTGCTCTAGAGCACGCTCCACCCACCACAGCCGTTTGAATCACTCCCGCTGCCAGACTATTCGTTGTCTTTTTCAGGATTTCTTGAAACCGTGTTATAACGTTTCGTGGACAACTCCGCCCAGTCTGGTGCACGCCCAACCCACACTGACTTCTCTCCGTTGTCAGACTCTATTCACTTCTTTCCCAGTCTCCAAGACTTTCTGGAACCGAATTATGATTTTTTGTGGCAGATCCGCTCACTTTTGGGCGCGCCACGCCCGCCGGTGGCGGGTAAACTCCGTTCCTTTGCCGGACTCTATAAACTTTTTCCCGTTCTCCAGGTCTTCTTGAGACCAAATTATGGAATTTCGCGGCAAACCCCGCCCTTCTCGGGCGCACCATGCTCGCCATGAGCATTTGAGCTTCCCTCCTTTTCTGACCTCATCCACTTTTCTCTGGTTTCTGAGACTTCCCTGAACCGAATTATGACGATTTCTAATAAACAGTGCCCAAATAAAGACAAAAAACTTCTTTTGAATATTTCTTTCTCAACCCATGCCCCATCTATCCCAATCCTGAACCGGACTCTGTAGGTGGTTCTTTAGATGGTACCGGATTTCGTGACACGGACAAACAGACACAGACAGACAGACTTAACGCATTATATACAGCATGGATGGGCGAACCATCCATTCTAGTTTCTGGTTAAATACAGCAGGTGGTGGTAGTACAGGTGATTCTTTAGGTGATACCGAATTTCGTGACAGACGGACAAATAGACACACAGGCAGGCAGACAGACATACAGACTTAACGCATTATATACAGTAGGGGTGAGCAAACCATCCATTCAAGTTTCTGGTTGAATACAGCATGAGGGGCACTACCAAAGCTTATTTATTCCCTTAGTGTTCCCTGATAAACGGCCACTTTTCCCCAAGTATTATTTCCAACATTCCCCAAAATCGCACAAAATCACACTCACAGTTGTAATTTTTTGTACTTCGTTCTGAGAGGAGCCCATTTCGCCTTCCCTTACCAGGAAGGTCTTTCAGGGCGTGCCAAGCTTTTTGAAAACGGTCTTTTGCATGATATAGGGGCACATGCGGGAACCACAGAACCATGGTTAATTTTTCCTGAACGGCCCTCTGAATACCAAAAAAGGGGTCCCTAGTTCGATTCCTCGTGGTGACAAATTTTTGAGTTGACGTTCAAAATTCGCGCAAAATGGAGTTAGCATGAATAATTAGTACCATATTCATGATTAGGACCGTCAGTAACCCTTACAAATAGACTTTGATTAAAAAACTGGTGAAAAAGGTGTGACACCACAGTGGGGCTGCTTGGTGTCACACCTTCTTCACCAATTTTTAATCAAAGTCTTTTTGTAAGGGTTACTGACGGTCCTAATCATGAATATGGTACTAATTATTCATGCTAACTCCATTTTGCGCGAATTTTGGAACGTCAACTCGAAATGCAAAAATTTGTCACCACGAGGAATCGAACTAGGACCCCCTTTTCTGGTATTCAGAGGGCCGTTCAGGAAAAATTAACCATGGTTCTGTGGTTCCCGCATGTGCCCCTATATCATGCAAAAGACCGTTTTCAAAAAGCTTGGCACGCCCTGAAAGACCTTCCTGGTTAGTCATTCATTACCGGACCTCCCAGAGTTGCCTCATGTGGCGTGCGTTCCAAGCCATGCTGTGATCAAAAAACTAGGCCACTGAGGTCAGCAGCATCCGAACTCACCGGCGTATAATACTTCTCCAGTTAGTGCTTTCCGCGGCCGAGTTCGCGGTCCTCGCACGCTAGGTTGTTTGTGTTTGGAAGTTGCACAAGGTGGTAATTCTGGAACGACCTTCAGTCTTCAGTCAGAGCGTGTAAAAAGATCTAGAACTCTGCAACACAGCCTCAACCACTAACCTTGGCTTTCTCGACAAGATTCCGGCAGGCAGCATGCGCCTTCACCAAAGTGTCGTTACTGACAGTAGTGACCAGAAATTCAGGGTGACAAAGCGGAAGCCGTACATGCTCCAACAACTGCAAAACTAGAGTGTAACATAATGCCGGACATTGGCCATTAATATGGCTTTTACCTCTGGGAAGAATTGTTCTCGGGTCGGTGAATCGAAAAGTACCCACTGAACAACTGCTTTGAAAACCTAGAAGAACACTAAAAAGTAAGGTATGTGAAAAAAACTGAGTTACTAAAAACATGTACCTGCTCTTCCGACGGCACCTGAAGTTCTTCACTTGAAATGAATTCGGCTAATTGGTTAGCAGAGAAGATTATAAAA